AGTTTATATTCTATGGTTGTACACCTACCAGGGAGCTTCAACTTTTGGGCAATATAGAAATGATATAAATAGAACATTCCCATAGTATGTAGTAGCAATGCTACTCTTCCGTAAACCACTCCACTCCTAAAGTCCCTATCAATTTCCCCTTCCACTCTGCCCCACATCAAAAATGAAATGAAAATTTGGGGTGAGGGTCTAGCAGTGTGTGTGTGTGCGCGCACGCGCGCTTCTTCTGAGGGAAGAATGAGCCCAATCCCTACCATGAGTGGTGGGAGAATGATTGGCGCTCCAGTTCCCAGCTGTCTTTAAGTTAGGAATCCAAACTATCCTTTGGCTCCTCACACAGTGTCCAGGAGCCATAAGGTTGTGCCTAAATTACATAAAAAATGACTGCAACTTCCATACCATGACCTTAGCTGGCACGTGCAAGAGGAACAGGGAGTAGATTATTTGTTTTTCAACAAGAACTCTGACAATGCAATCAGAAAGAAGCAACCAGCCTGCAGGACACACAAAAGAGCCAATAATTTGGAAATCCATACAGAAAATTGTGGAAGGGTACACCTACAATTAATTATGTGATAGGAGGACATTTTGGTTTAATATTCATATTCTCTTTGTTATTTTCTCTTTATACTAATTTGTATGTCACACTAGATAATCTTGGTTTACACTTGATTGCTACAATAGCCTCTTTTGTACAGAAGCTATACTGTAATCCTCTACACACCTACCTTTGAATAAACCCCATTAAACTCAGTGCTGTTTACGTTCAGTGGCATCCTTGACCACACTACTTTTTCATTCAAGGTAAAGATGTGGGAAATAGGAAACCAAATGTAAGCATCACAAGGCCTCAAGATTCTCGCTTGTTTAGTCAAGGGTTCTTTCTGATACTGTGTTATCTCTACAGCAGCTCAATGTCATATCAGATGTAGACGTTCATAGAGTCGGGTCAAAATTTAATGGATCAGTAAATCTATAAGAGGATGATTCCTGCCACATTCAGTGAACATGCAGAGGGTGAACTCCAGGTGAACTCTGGGAAACAGTGGATTCCACTGGTAAGTGGGCTCACAGACTTATCTCAAGGAGCCAGAGAGAGAAATGTCTGGATGCTATCTATAGCATGGCCAATTTCCAATGGGACTTGGAAAAGGGCCTTATTCTCCTAAATGCATGGGCTGGATGATATAGGAGAAGACCTTCTTCGGGTACTTATGTCCCAAGCCATTTAGGACTTAAGCACTATCATGTAAAACTACGTTTGGAAGCAATGTAATTGTTTAAGTATTTGTGTACTATGGCTCCACCTAGCTAAACCTGTGAGAATTTTCATAGCCAAACTCTGAATCAATTGATTCCCAAGTCGTGTTTTAAGGCAACCCTACAGGAATCCACTCAGGAGGTTACCACAGCATGGATCATTGTAGCCAAGCTATCCCTGGCCAGGAAAAGCCTTAGTTGGTTAACCAGCCAAAGCTTGTAAAAGGGACTCAGTCCCACCAAGGCTTTCATCTAAATTGTGTTCTTGTTGAGGATAACTCAACCTCATCCAGAACAGCCTAAGTACTGACCTGACCTGAATGCCACTTATCCTGGTGCTTCCATCGTCTCAGGATTCTGCTTAATTTATTAACCCTCATCCAGCCGATTAGTACATCCAGGCAAGAGTTCACCTTCACCTTACTCAGATGACAAAGGTGAGTTTGCACAACACGTTAAGCCATCATTGCAAATAAGCCATAGTGTGGGCTCTCTGTAGACCAATCCATGATGCTTTCAACAAAGAACTGAAAGCATTTGGTTTGCTCTTCCACTCTGTCATCCTCGGTCCTTCAGTGGTATACCATTGTCCTTCAGGAGAGAACCCATCTTATCTCCCTTTACCTGCTCTGGTTGCTATCCCTTTTTGTTTGCCACATTTTTTTTTCTTTTTCACAGACTTACACATGTGAAATTAGGGTAGTGTTTTTTAATGCTATGGCTGGGAAGTAGCTGTAGAAGAAATGTTTGTACCTGCAGTGACTGCTCCATCAGTGTGGGTACCCAAATTTCCCCTCCATTTACTTCAGCCATTACTTTATTAAGAATTCCTCCTCCATTTGCTTCTCAGTCACCAAATTTACATATAACTTCCCATGCAAAAAATATACAAATATTATTCAGTTGCTGTTTTCAAACACTCTTACAGAGGTAGCAGATTGGAACAGCAAATAGGATGCCAGCACTAGTGGTACTCACACCCACCTTCCATAAGGCCCTGCATTCACTTCATCCCATTTTCTCAGAGGGTTTTCCAACTGTCAGGGACTCACAGTAATGAGTCCCTGAAAGTCCGACAACAGTCTCCAGAATCGACAGGGCCACATATCCCACTCTGTCTTGCAACAGAGATTACTCATCCAGACAAACAAGAGTGTTCAACTATCACCTAGCCTAAAACAAGATTAAAATCCATTTCAGCCACAATCACCTGGAGCTGAACCACAAAAAAAGGATATTTGCAACTGGAGGATAGTTATCAGGGCCAAGCTAGTGTTTCTTAAGCAGCAGTACCACAACCACCTTTTCAAATCAACTGGGACCAACCACTCTCCCAAAAAGTCATCAATCATCTTCTTAGCCCTATCCACTCATCCCTCTAGGGTTCAGCATAAGCAGTCAGCATAGGTGAGGATTACAGCTGGTTGGCCAAACCTCTCCAAGCATCTTCTTCACATCCTCAGGACTCATTAATTGAAATCAATCTCACATAACTAGACTAGAGGTGATGCTTTAGACACCTGCATCAAAGTCAGAGTGTACATGGGAGATTTTATCCTGAAAATATTTTGCAAAGTTGTCACAGCAGGTCTCTGAGAATTCTAATAAATCTTTTCCAGGATCTAGATGTAATGTCTTTACTACCTAGAAAACCTTTTCCAGATGGCTCCCTGAAGGTACAGTCATGCTGGAAGTAAGACTTATTTGTCACAATCACTGTGATGAAGTAGGTATGACATTGAAGCCAGGTAAGTAAGATAATATGCTTTTCCTTTTGTCAGTCACTGTGAGACTGGAGACTTGCATTCTGGTTGTTACTCAGCCTGCTTCATTGCCAACAATTGCCAGGAAGCTGGCTGGGCTCTGCAGCTCAGGAGAAGACATTGGGTCAATGGTTCTCATCTTCTCACTGTTCCAAAGCAAATGCAGAGCTTTTGCAAGACTATCAGACAACTCAGTTGATCTGCACCCAGAGTATGTCATTTTGAAAATCTGTAGTATAAACACAATAATGCATAATGTTTGTATGATTTAGATGCCCACAGACCTGGACTGTGTAATCAAGGCTGCTATCTAGCTCAAGGCTTGCAAGGTCCTGTGAGACTTCTGAGCAACTAAGGTTATGGTATCAAGGCAAATCAGCCAATGATATTACAGAAGGCTGGACAAGAAGATAAGAGTGCAAGACTTGACATTATGAGCAGCCTGACATTTCAACAGGCACTTAGCTAATTATGTATGGAACATTAGCCAAGAACATTGGCAGAGAAAGAACTTAGCTAACAGTTTACATTCTTTTTTCAGTGACTGGTTTATTATACAATATGAAAAGAAACAACGTTTTTCTACAGCAGTTACGTTGAACAATATTAACATTGGCAACTGGAAGAAATATTTCAGTCTTCCTAATAATCCTCTAAACTCTCTATTCTCTATTATAACATCCATGGATACCATATTCAGTAAATTTCACTGTGCTGAAAGCTCTTTTCATTTACAGTAAGTCTAGTATAATTGGGAACTGCTACCCTTTTGAGGACTTAAAGTAACTCTTAATTTAAAGAGTCAGATGAAAGTCAAGAAACATAAAAAGGCTACCCTATTACATCTGCAATCACACCCAATCCACATTGACTGGATACTTTGAATATCTCATTTGGGATTGGGAATGAGGCTAAGGAATGCTGAGCTGGGTCATGGATGAGGCTTAATGGAGCAGTGTACGATCAGACAAGGCATGAGGGATAAGAAGAGGCATTATATAAACTGAAACAATTGCATGTTACATCATGAACTATATAGATTGCACATGTGGGATTAAATCTGACACTTTACTAGGTTGTAAACAGTAGGAGGAAGAAAAAAGGCCCCAAAAAGCAAGAATAATGCACTACAGGAACTTCTCCTTCTAATAACAAGCCTATGGATTGTACTGGCTGCCGGTTGGCTTTCTTTTTGATACATACACACATCCCATGTTCAGTACTGCTGGACAAGGGACTGAAGACAGGTATAATGCAAACTCTCACTGTCTGATGGGTACTCCCCTCACCCCCAGAGTGTGGCATCAATCCACTTCTGGCTCCCAGTCACTAATCATGAGAACAGAAGGCATCAGACATTTTTTCTGGAACTAATGAGGATAATTCCCGCATGCATTTCTCTCACTTTCTCCCAACTATGCAGTCTAATAACTAGAGAGTCAATAACTCTCAATTAAACTGGGCATCCACTGAATTCCAGTGGATTAGGTTTTCTCTTGCCACATTTTGTTAGTGAGGCAACTTAACCTATTTTAGGAGTTGCAGTCCACTCCTCGGATGAATGTGGAATTCTTTTTGTTCGGTATAAGCACATGCAGAATGTGTTTGGTGTGCTGTAATGGTATATTTCCCAGTTAGCCACAATCTATAAAGTGATGAGACAATATGGAATAATTTTAAAAACAGCATAACAAATGACCTATTTTTATTATTAATCACTATTGCATATGACCAAAACATTTGTGTAAATACAAATCATTAGACAAAACAGATAGCTTGGACACTACCAATTAAAATTACATTACTTTAAAAAAACTACTCAGCCCAAAGGGTCTAAGTAATGAAGGTGGTTGACCACTACTGTGAAGTTCACATGAAACATCTAAGTGACATTTTCGGTCTCCTTTCACACAGTCTGTTACTTTGATCTTTTTGTTCTTCGCAGCATTCCAAGCAGTGCTCCAGAAGTCACACCTGAGAAAAACCTTTAGCTGGCCAGAACATTGGTCTTTTAGTTTTTTCACTTTCCTGTGTACAAAGGAAAGAAAAAGGTGAAGTCTTATCAAGTATTATTTGACACTGTGTTGTCTTTGGCAAAATAATTCGGTAGTTCAGCAGATATTTACTGACTCACTTTCTTCACACTGATCTATTTAAATAACTGAACATGAAGGCCATCTTAGGATAACAGCCAATGCTAGCCTACGAGTAGACCTACTGAACTGAAAGAAACTTAAATCAGTCATAACTAACTTTAGTCCAATTCATTTAAATCGGTCTTCTCTGCATGAGACTGACATTAGATACTACTCTTAGCAATCAGATCCTAAATAAGCAACGTCTTAATTTTACTGAAGTTTGGTCATACATTCCCAGACATATTGCCAACGTTCTGTATTAATAGCTGTTAAAAGCATTAGCTCTGGGGCCACTTAGCATACAAGTGTTTTTACTCGTTTATTCTTACAGCATGCCGTCGCCTTCTCTTTGGTTGGATGCACTCCTGTCTGTACGTGGGCCACTGGAATCCTTTGGGAGCCACCTGGCTATTCTCATGCTCCACCTCCTCTGAATCGGAGTCATTTTGTTGCACCAAGGAGAACTGCTTCTCTGGATAAATGTCTTTTAGTTTGCTTTCGAAAAATATTTCCAGACATCTTCCAGCTTCAGCAACCTCTGAGTCAGGCTACAAGAGAAAGTATAATCATTTGCTGATCTTAATGTGTTGTAATCATACTGTTTATCTAGTAGGACCTGCTCTCCCTGTTGCTAGGATTATGAGCCTCTTGGTTTTTCTTTTTTCCTATTGCATTAGGGTTTTTCTTTTTCCAAAATCATATCATTTACAGTGAAACAGAAAATAGTTAATAGTTCCAACACAGAGTAAGACATAAGATCATGGAAACAGTATATTAAAATAATGAATACTATACATTAAGTAATGTTGTCTTTTCAAAATGATAAATGAATCAACAGTGGTTATGGGAAGAATAGATTCCTGTCAACATAAGACATAAACAGAAACCACACACTGAAAAAGAGGTTGGGTTTAGCCGCGCTTCTAGATAATTTAGAGCAGTGGATTAATATCTCTAAAGATGCAAGATATCACATTCCACTGAACCAGTTTTGGTGGTTATAATATGGCATTTATAGCACGTCTATTCTCCTATTGTGAGGACCCAAGGGGTTTGCATAGTCCTCCACTCCAGTCTACCCTAACCACAACCCTGTCAGGTGGGTTAGGCTGAGAGTCACTGCCTGGTCTAAATTCACCCAGTGCACTTCATGGCTGAGTGGGGACTAGAACCTCAGTCTCCCAGATCCCCTGTGCAGCACTCTAACTACCACACCAGCTCTCAGGACAGCAAGGATCAAAGGACAAACCAAATATTCCTCCAAAGTCCCAAGCTGAGAGGTGGGTTTTCCAATATGCTCAGTCTCAAGAAAGCAAAAAGAGAAAATAGAAGGCAATGCAATACTCAAGGATCAGTCAATGTGGTCAATTGTTTGAGATAATAATAGTCAAGGAAAATGTCAGTCCCTCTTTGGACTTTATGTGTTAGAAATAGCAAATGTCAAACTGAGGGTCATGCAGATAGGGACAGAGAGGAATGAGAAAAACAAATTTAAAAATCACAGGGAGAAATAGAGATTGTTGGGAATGAAAATTCTTGGCACATGATTCAAGGCCAGGAAGATTCATAGTCTTCAGAGGATGGGGTGGGGCGGAGGGGTCCTGGGAAGCAGGGCCTCTGAATTTCTAGATGGGAGAGGCAGGAGGGCTGATCCCAAGGCCACCCTCCCAAGGTGTTCAGGCAGACCCTACAAATAGTCACAGTCTGCATATGCCAGGAGGGGATGTGGAACAAGAGCAAGACAAGCCTGGTATGATCCTTGACTTCATGATGCAGCATTTGGAAGAGGCAGGCTAGCTAACTAGAGAGGTAGTATACAGCCAAGATGCTAGCCTATCTCCAGAGGGGTGGGGCCCTGGGGTACTCAGAAGGATGGTTCTTGGAGGTAATTGCTAGTTTGGGTTCAGTGACTCTGCTGATTATGCTTTGCTGGATGTACACTGGACAATAAAGAGCTCTGTTGTTTTGAAAGGGCGAAGGGAGTAACCTAACTCACTATGAAGTTTATGTCTTTCTTCACCTCCATCACAAATTATTGCAGTCTCTACTTTTCAGAATTAAAATATTCACTCCAAATACATAGCAAGTGTTTGTCCCATAAGCATCTCTTCTCCAGAATAATGAGAAGCTACCTTCAATTACCTCTAGTCATCATACAAAGATTTTTGGGAGCCAGATTCAAGAATCAAGAATATTCAATAAAATTTTTCACAGCAAGAAAAAAAATCACAGCATAATTCTTTCCAAAGGTGCTTATGACTATCAGTGAGGAATCATCAGGATGGCAGCCGGTGATGAGTGGAGTTCCCCAGGGCTCAGTTCTGGGACCAATTCTGTTCAACGTTTTTATCATTGACATGGAGGAGGGGATAACCAGTCTGCTGACTAAACCCATGGATGATACCAAAGTGGGGCAGTGGCCACAACTGTGGAGCAGGTGATCCAGATCCAGAAGGATCTGGACAGGCTGTGGAAGTGGGTGGGGGACTACAGGATGGCATTCAATGCAGATAAGTGCAAGATCTTATCACACCGCAGTGTGATGTGGTGGTTAAGGCAAATGGCACCCTTGGATGTATAGCCAGAAGCGTGGTTTCCAGATCTAGGGAAGTGTTGATGCTGCGGTACATGACTATGGTGAGCCCACAACTGGAGTACTGTGTCCATTTCTGGGCTCCACATTATAGAAGAGACATAGCTAGTTTCGAATTGGTTCAGGGCAGGATCACAAGAATGGTAGCCAGGTTGGGAGGGATGGTATATGAGAAATTGAGGGAACTGGGTCTTTCAGCCTGGAGAAAAGGAAACTCCGAGGGGATCTTTTAGTGACTTACAGGTATGTGAGAGGATGTCATGTGGAGGAGGGCTGTGACCTGTTCTTCCCTGCAGTGGAGGGCAGGACGCATTCCAGTGGAACAAAGCTCAAGGAACCAGGCTTCCAGCTGGATGTCAGAAAGTAATTCCTGACAGCTAGAACCCCTAGAATTTGGAATGGGCTTCCAAGGGAGGTGGTGGAGGCCCCATCAGTGAATGGGGGATTGGACAACCACATGTTGGGGATTACCTGAGTGGATCCGGCTGGAACCGGGGGTCAGTCTAGATGGCCTGGGAGGCCCCTTCTGACTCACTTTTTTATATTTCTATGCTTCAGAGTACTGCTTTCTGAATTACAAGTACTTACGTAGTTGAATGTTGCACAGTTCCAAAACATAAGACGCACATCTGCGACCAGCTCTTCAGAGGTGGAATAATGCAATTTGTTCTTTTTCTGTAGCTTTTTCCGGATTATGGACAAATCCATGGGCCTTTTGATGATCTGATAATAATGGCGAGCCTATCACAAATGTTATTTGCATAAGATTTTTAATAAATCACAATATCTCTTTGAACCTCAAAACCTAGGTTAAGGCAAGTATGTTCTGCATCTTGCATATAAAGCAGACACCCAGTATGGATGATTAAAGAACCCATAATTGTTTGCATGTGGCTGGTTACGTGCTGCCTTCTGATCACCTGCTTACAAGCTAGAAATGCCCTGTTCCTGGCTTTTTACCCTGCAATCTGAATGGCTTTGTTATAGGTTAAAGCTCTGGGCTGTTTTCCCCTCAACAACTCAGAATTCAGATGGCACAGCAAAGAACTCAGAAAAGTTCCTGGGTTATTTAGCAAAGCAGAAACAGGAGACTAACTGGGAGCCGGCAGCATGCCTGTTCACACCTGCATACTTATAAATCATGCAAACAAGGTCAATGAGCTAAAGTTTAAAAGGGAATGAAATCATGTGATTGTAACTGAAACTAAACAAAACAGCAGTACTCCTCTGCTCTGTATAACAGAAGATTTAAAAAGCAAAACTGTTTTGCTTAGGGAAAAAAAGAACATGATATGAATATGACTCCACAAATATATGAAAAAGGAAACTATAATTTTGATTATATTCACAAAATAAGAATGAGGGCACTCCTGGGAAAGAACATTGTAAGGTAGGAAGTAACCTACCATCTGAACTCACTCTTATAACTATGCAAAGCTTCTTATTTAACAACTTCTGTATTTTGTATTTAGGAAAAATAGGATCAGAAATTTAGAGAATATAGTATGAGAAATTCTCAGCACTGCCTCAGTTCTATGATTAGGCTATTTTCTGCATGATGGAGAAAATTGACAAGTCTGAACATTTCACTGAAATAGGCAAAAGACAGGCCAGGGCCTGCCAACAGGTAATTACAGCTGCTGAAAAAAACACAGCAGAGACTGAAAGGGGTAAGAAAAATATGTGCAGGTAAAGCAAATATTACCAGAGGTATCATTTCCATTTATGTAAAACTTACCAGGGGGCTGACTGGTTCATGGAATGGTAGACTCAGGTTATTGCACAACAAAGAAAGTACCAGTTTCTCGCACTTCTGTAAAATGTGAGTTTATAATTACTTTTGGTTTACACAAATACAAATACCTGTGCTGATATCTGGCATCAATTAAGAGTTTTTGCATAAATCCTTTATTTCTCTATATACTTTCCCACTCCCTCCTCAACTATAAACCAAGATGCCCTACCTACAATAGAATACAGCAACTTTTGACTAATTTCCACTAAGCATATGTTACCATGATAGAAAGCATGGGTTTCTTTTTCACATTGATTGTTAAAATCCATATTATTTCTACAATTTGATTGACAACTAAATATTTATACATGGTAAAAACTATATTCCTGTTTTGTTATTTCAACAGCAAACTTGAACGATTTACTAATGGGGAAATCATAACAAAATATAAACTGCTTAACTAATCTTGACTTGTATTCAGTACCACTGCATGTTACTTTTTGTTTGTATTCCATATAATGTTCCTTCAGACAGGTACAATTAATGAAGAGTCAATGTACAATACTGGAGAAAAGAAGATCTTGTCTACGTTCTTCTACTGGTAACTGGACCTACCTTCTGCTCATAGTCATCGAGACCATAGAGTGCTCTTGCTTGTGTCAGTGTGCTGCTGTAGTTGAAACGTGTGTTTTCACAGTCATACTCTACCTCCGGTTTCTCCACATTGCGACAAAGCGTGCACACCCATTCACCACTGAAGCAGAGGAGAAAAAGGCATCATCAGACTGTTCCAGTTGACCATGGGCCCCTGATAGATGCTTTGACAAATATTAACTGGGTTCGGATACTGTGATGGTCCACACTGAAGGGCTGACTGTAGGTTATGCTCAAACCATGCAATCTCTTTGAAATGTGAGCTATTATGTTGCCTGAATCCAGCCAAAATTCATGGTGAGCAACCAGGGTTTATGACCCAACATAAGAATGGGTTCTCTGCATGGGTTGAGGTTAACAAGCTATGGCTTCTTAACAACTGGGTTCAGACAACACAACTCATATTGCAGAAACCACCCTTGTTTCAACAACTACCCATATTCAGTCCTCAAGAATGAGTCATCATGTTGTCTGACCTCAGTTGGTGAAGATTTCTCCTATGCAAGCTGCTTTACACAATGAAGCCCATTGCGACAAATGCCTACACAGATAATATATTCTTTAGGAATCAATGTATTTAGGCATAGTCCTGTGTATGTTTAGAGAGAAAATTGTCCTACCATTCTGTGACTGGAGAATGCTGAGAGTTGCTGAGAGCTGTAGGGCTTTTTTCTGTCTAAACATGCATGGGATTCCACCTTTAATGATTTACGATACAAGGTACAGCCATGGATGCAATAAGGCAGAAAAAAGAATCTGTGATAAAATTATTTTTACATGCACCTGGCATGTAGAAAACTAGATTGCAGCAGCAGCATCCCTTTCTTATTATCATCACATTGCATTTATATCCCTCGCGTCCCCACCCCCACTCCTGGGGAACCCCAGGAAGCTGGCACAGTGCTCCTCCACTCCACTTTATCCTGACAGCAACAACCCCATGAGATACTCTAGGCTGGGAGTGAGTGGCTGGCTCAAGATGACCCAGTGAACTTCGTGGCCAAGTGGCAACTAGAACCTGGAACTCGCAGGTCCCCAGTCCAGCACTCGCCATGCCACCTTTGTTTATTTGTATAATGCCCCATAGCCGAAGCTCTCTCAGAGGTTTACACAGCCCATTAAAACAGATGATAAAAATACAATAAAAATCATAAAAACAGAAAAAATGCAAAATTAAAAGCCAATA